TTTTAAAGGTTTTACAAGGTATTTTAAAGGTTTTACAATGTATTTTAAAGGTTTTACAACATGTTTTAAAAGAGTTTACAAGATATTTTAAAGATTTTACAAGGTATTTTAAAGGTTTTACAATGTATTTTAAAGGTTTTACAACATGTTTTAAAAGAGTTTACAAGATATTTTAAAGATTTTACATGGTTTTTAATGGTTTTACAAAGTATTTATAAGGTATAAGATGATTTATAAAACTGAAAATCATATATTTAAAAGTTGGCCAACTCTCTCCGTATGAGTGCCACATCATCACATAAGAAAATGACATGTGTCCGTCTACATTATTTAAATAAAAAATGAACCAAATTAAATGAGAAAAAAAAATAGTTCTTCACATTAAATCATCCATCAATCCTATTCTTAACTTATTTCTTTAAAATAAAAAAAATTAGAAAATTATATTACTAAATCAAGCACTACTTTCATTGTTCTCATCTTATTTTACAATTTTTTTTTATCAAGACTCGCTATTCGATAATAACTGAAAATTTATTTGTGTTGTAATTTAGTAGTTTGCTACCTAACTTTTTATTAGTTTAGTAATTTTACCTTGAGTGTGTTCTCGTTGTTACGTTTTGTGGTTCATATACGACTTTTCATATGACCAAAATGGGTCTTTTCATTTTTGTGCTTTATTATAATTTAGTTACATTTACATGCAAGTTTTTTAAGTAATGGGTCTTTGAGACGTTAGGTATACCAAAAAATTCAAGACACGACAATTTCTCTTATATAGCTATATGCAATGGGAAAAAAAAAAGCTATATGCAATGGCAGAAGATGTAAAAAGTGTTGACTTAAAATGACAATGTAGTTTTCGTCTTTTTTCTTCTTTTTATATGAAAATTATTGAGATCTTGTTCAACTTATATCAATCCAGTAATTAATTATGAGTCTATCACGATATGGCTGGAGTAGTAGATCATGAGAGTACATAAAACAAGGAATTGCTTAATTATGATCAAGTCACGCAAGTTTCAAATCATACTAGTAACATAATTACATATAATTATATCAAATATCTTATATTGTTGTTGTATTTATTCATAATAGTGAAAAAAGTATCTTAGATATATAAATAATCTTATTTATACATGAAAATGTATAAATTGATATTTTAAGTCAAAAATGAATTTAAACATAAAAATTGTAACTACATAAGATGGATCTGATTTTATTAACTATACAATAACAGAAAAAAACATAAATTAGTAACAAAACAATCAACATCAGTTTTTCTTAACAATTTTCAAAACAAACCCACGCGTAGCGTGGGTATTCATCTAGTATTTTATAAAGGGTTTTATAAGGTTCTTAAAATTTAAAGATTTTACAAGGTATTTTAAAAGTTTTACAAGGTTAAAGGTTTTACAAGGTATTTTAAAGGTTTTAAAATGTTTTACAAAGTATTTTAAAAGTTATTTTAAAAATTTTAAAATGTTTTACAAGATATTTAAAAGTTTTACAACGTGTATTTAAAAAAGTTTACAATATATTTTAGATCACATCCACAACACAAATCACAATCATTTCTCTGAAAATCTTATGAACACAAATCAGAAACACCAAAACCACATAAAACTCAAACTAAACAATATAATATCAAATCTTAAGATCTTTCCAGTTTTATAAATTAACACATGTACTCATTAGGCCATTATGCAAGAATCAAATTGTTTAATAATGGACAAAAGAAAGTGTTATTAATGTACTTTACTCGTGTGCTAGAAAGAAAAAGTGGTAAAGCAAAAGTAAGTTGACGAGCCTTTCTTCTCCAGGAAACAAAAGAAGTAATCCACTGCACATAAACAACAATCTAGTCCCATGATTCATCACTCCACAAACAAAAACAACAATTGATTTTGAAATCGAAAGTGAAACTGTGAAATCAAAATTACGCCGAAGAAGAAGAGATTAAAGAGGATTTTTGTGTGATTACAAAGAGTTGAGAATCCAGATCGGAGAGATTCATCATATTGATAGAAGAAGAAGGTCGATTTAACTCTCAATTTGACTCTCAACGGATGAATGATGAAGATTTGATCAGCAATTGAAATTTCGATTAAGAACCTGTGGGTGTGGGCGACGGCGTGCCCAGATTTTTTTTTTTTAATTAGGTTATAACCTGATTCAAAGCCTCATTAAGGGTAAAATGGTCAATTTCAAGGAAGCTATTAGGGAGGGGGCATTTTTGAAAAGGGGTATTGAAAAAGAGGCATTTTTGTGAGTCTCTCAAAAATATATGAACAAATTTATTATACGTAATTAATGTATAATATTGTTCGGAATATGCTTTTATTATTAGTTACCATAAGTATAATCAGATTTTATTTGATTTCCATAAATATTTGATTTTATTTCGATTTTTCATTATTAATTCGAATTTATATTCCAAAAAAAATTCAAAGATCCGATTTCAGAATTTCGGGTCAATTTTTTGATTTTAACCCGACCCATTTTCATTTGTACTTCTCTTTTAATAGTATAGAGATATAATTGATTGTAAATTTTATTACTGTAATAATTCTTATTAAAGTATACTTATTAAACTCATAAACTCTAATTTCTATAGTATATAGTATAAATGTGGATCCAAATATTTAAAATTTATTAAAAATTAAATATTATGATTATTTAAACTTTTAAAAAACTCTAACTTTATTAAACGTTTTAATTATTTATAATATTATAACTTTTATGAAGTTTCAAATATTATAAATATTTGAATTTTATAAGAATTTATAAGTAGTTTAAACATTATAAATATTTATAAAAGATATTAATACGAGACGGTATACTACGGGTGAAATCCTAGATATAAAAATCAAAATACAATTATGAAGTTTGGGTCGTATTAAAACTTTTATGAAGTTTCAAATATTAGAAATATTTGAACTTTATAAAAAAAATTACAAAAATGATGTTTAATTTCACGGAACGGAGTTATATAGTGGGACGGATTTAGATCGATATTAATACAGGATGGTATATTACAGGTGAAATCCTAGAATTAGCGATCAAAATACAATTATACAATCTTAAACACTAAATAAAACAAATACAACTTAAATTTTGATTTTTTAGTTATAAAATATTGACATGCGGTTTACCATATAAGTAGGGGAAATTCTAAAAAAATCATTTTTTAATTTAGGGAAAATCTAGATCCGCGGTATACCGCGGGTTAATATCTAGTCATAAAATAAAATAGAAGGGAAAAAAAAACTGAAAAAGACAATAAAAAGGAAAAAGAAAATGATATGGCTTGGAGTCTTGGACAACATAGAATTATTCCTATTACATAAGACAATAAAAGGGAAAAAGAGAATGACATGTCCACGGAGAATTTTTATTCTTCATCTAACCAAGAAAAACAGCATAAACTATCAAAGTACATTATAATATAAAGCTTACCAAATCAAACTTATGGATATATAGAAAACAGATGAACAATAGAAGACTAAATTCAAATTATATACTTCTATTGGTGGAGACGGATCCTAATCGGAAATGTCAACATGGATATACCAATAACAATAAGGCACGTCCAGTGTTGTACAAATTGTCTGAGCAAAGTCGAAATAAATTTGATGGTTTTCTCGTTAGACTTTTATCAAGTGGTAGTATAAAACCTTACAAGTGTGTCACGTCTAAATTCTATAAAAATGTTGGTTGTAAATGTTTATTCGTTGAGGTATTAAATAGTTTTGATTTAATGAGAAATTTCATGATATACTCTCAACAAAATATTTTGTACATGACAAATTCAAGTTGCTTTTTTTTTTTGGAACAATTCAAGTTGCTTTTTTAAGCAGCAAACATAATAGCTCAGAAATAAACTTTGTTTCTAAATTTAGCACATCTCCAAAGTTCCAAAAATAACACAAATTTAATAAACAAAAATATTCTTACTTTGGGGATGATTTAAAACAATGTCAAAATCGCCTAAAAACTAATTCCTAAATACTAAACCCAAACCCAAAATTTTAAATTATAAACACTTGAAAATTATTTTTTAGTGTTTGTAGTATTTTTTAACTAAAAAATTTGGTAGTAGTATGTTTGAGAGGAAAAAAACTAATGATAGTAATTTGGGAACAAAACTTAGTTTAGTGGTATTTTAGAGTTTTTTTTATAAATATTTTTATTTTACATTTGTGTCAACTAATGGTTTTTTTGGAAATGTGTGCAGTGTGTGCTATAATTGTCCACAAAACTTGTTTTAGTGATATTTTAGGGTATTTCTCAACCTTAAAAAGTCTTATTTTCAAAACCATATAATGCGATTAATATTTCTTTGATCAATTATGAATGTTATTTGTATATATTGAACCTAAACCAACTTAAATCTTCTTATATGTATAAATCGCCCATATTATCAAATATCAAAAGCATTTCAATTTCTTCGTATCAAGTATTTCCAAATTTATTTTAATTTATTATCCTCGCACTATGCCCAGGACAACAACTAGGTTTTAGATATATTATACTATAAGCTTTTTCAGTATTTAATTTTTTTTTAAAATGCATAATTTATTTATTTGACTAGAAAAATTAATGAATGACTTAAATTAGTATGGTTAGTAAAAATTTAACATCTCTAATTATAATTTTAAAATTATATCATAAATAAACCGCAATCTAAAACTTTATGATCATCTCATTATATCATCATTTATTTTGAGAAAGTCTTGTCCAACTTTATAACAAAATAGTTTTAAGATTTCTATGTTGAGTTGAAGTGGTAGAACCATATATTTTTTGACAGCTTCCTAGAAATGACTCGTCAATTCCATCTTAGACTATTATTAATTTAGCTCATTTATTTTTGGAAGCTGTGACGTTTCCATATGTTGACATTGCCAACTTTGTAGTTCCAGTTCTTATATAAGAGGGTTACTAAATATAATGTATCAAGACTTTTTGGTGTGGTTAAATTTTTGTTTGGTTGAGAACTGAGAAGTAGTCCAGAATCGAGAATGGAGAATCTTAACAAGCTTCTGCTACTCGCTTGTGCCACTTTCTCCGTTATGTCTCTTGTTAAGTCTCAAAATCAAGAAGGTATTTTAATTTTTACTGTCTTACTTTTTTCTTATACTTTTAATATTTTTGATATATGAATTATCTCAAACAAAAGATATCTTGTTCCTATTGTTACCCTATCATGTTTTGCCAGGATTCATCAGTTTGGATTGCGGATTACCTTCTAACGAATCTCCTTATATCGAACCATTGACCAATTTAACATACATATCAGATGTCAATTTCATCCGAGGAGGAAAAACTGGTAATATCGAAAATAACCCAGACACGGAATTTATCCCGAAGCCACATAAGGTTTTGAGATACTTTCCGGATGGAGTTAGAAACTGCTACAATTTGAGTGTGAAGCAAGGCACAAAGTATCTAATCAGGACTTTTTTCTTTTATGGAAACTATGACGGTCTTAATACTTCTCCAAGATTTGACCTCTTTCTCGGTCCAAATATTTGGACAAGCATCGATGTGCTAATACCTGGTGTACGTGAGGGAGCTGTCGAGGAGATCATTCACGTCACAAGGTCTAACATCTTGGACATATGTCTCGTAAAAACAGGGACGAGTACACCAATGATATCAGCCATAGAACTACGACCTATGCGATATGATACTTATACTGCTCGAACCGGATCCTTAAAGATTATTGAGCGCACCTACTTCGCCAATTCAGACAAGCTAATACGGTATGTCAACTATAGTATTCAAAGAGGATATTAAGGAACACAAAATAACAAATAACTCTCTTTACTGCTTTAGAAAATCTATCAAACCTAAAGCTTTCTTAGTCTCTCTTAAAACTCATAAGTTATGTCCCAAGCTTGACATCTCCTTATATAATAAAACAGTTGACTAAATCCAAAACTAATTAGGAATGTATTTAAATAACTCCTAAACACAACTTTAGATAACTTCTAAAGATCCCAAGCTTTATCTCCTTTGTAAATAACTTATAACTCAAGTTATCTTCAAGCTTAAGTCAACATTCTCCCACATTAAGCTTGAAGTCATCTTTTACCACGTCTTGACCACCATTGAGATCTCTCATTTTCTTGAACTTAATTCTTCCAAGTTCTTTTGTCAAAATGTCCGCCTTTTGCTCGCTCCCCGGAACATGTTCTGCTTCTATTTACCCATTCTTGATACACTCTCTTATAAAATGGTATCGCCTATATATATGCTTACTTCGGCCACGAAATACTGTGTCCTTGTAAGAGCAATTGCGGACTGATTATCAATGCGTATGGTGCATTTTCACACGATGTTCTAGCAATTTCACTTAGTAGATCTTGGAGCCAAATTGCTTGTTTTGCTGCTTCAGTTCCTGCCATAAACTCAGCCTCACACGACGATATCGCCACAACATCTTGTTTTTGCGAGCACTACGATATTGGACTCTTACCAAGATAGAACACATATATATGTATATATATATATATATATATCATTTGTACTCTTTCCATCTTCTGGATTAACATTGTGGCTACTATCACTATATCCTACTAACTTTGGTATTTCCACACTTCTTTCAAAGATTAAACCAAGAGTAGTAGTCCCCTTCATGTATCTTAAGCATTGCTTCATTGCAGCAGCACGTGATTCTCTAGGACTTTGCATATATCTACTTAAGACTCCCACACAATATGACAAATTCGGTCTTGTATGAAAAAGATATCTTAGACAGCCCACGTTCTTTCTATAAATCGTAGCTTCAACTTCCTTTTCATTCTCTGACTTTGACAGCTTTAAGCCGGTCTCCAAAGGGGTATGAACCGAATTGCAGATCTTCATACCAGCTTCTTCTAGAATCTTGAAAGCATATTGGTTTTGATTTAAAGCTATTCCTTCATTGTGCTGGATGACTTCGATTCCAAGGTAGTATGTCAATTTCCAGAGATCACTCATCTAAAACTTAAAAGACATCTCCTCGAACTTTTTAATGACATCTAAGCTTGTTCATGTGACAAATAGATCATTATACACGGCTATGACTAGGAGATGTTCTCTAACTTCCTTTCTATAAACGGATGGCTCCTTCGAACACTTCTTAAACTTATTATTCCATGCTCTTGGCGCTTGTCTTAAGCGATACAATGCTTTGTTGAGTTTATAAACCTATCTTTACTTCCCTCCTTTTCAAATCCCTCTGGTTGGCATACATAAACAACTTCCTTTGGTGCTCCGTGAATGAAGGCTGTTTCCCATCCGTCTGATGCTGCAAGATCAATAAGAAGCCTTATTGTCTCAATTCGTGCCATTGGGGGAATACTTCATCAAAATCTATTCCGTACTATTATACATACCTTTTAGCAACAATTCAAGCTTTATATTTGTTGACACTCCCATCAGAGTTTCTTTTGAGTTTGAATACCCATTTTATACCAATCGGTTTACCTCCAATCAGCAAATCCACGAGATCCCATAATACGATCCTCCCAAGGACTCGGCACTCTTGAGTTGAGCAAGGGATAAAGGTGGTTGTAAAGCCGTGATGATGGATAGATTTGAATGGATCGATGGATATCACAGAAGCTTGCGGAAGAGCTTCACGATACCGAGACTTAGATCCTTTGGATATACACACCAAAAGAGACTTAAGGGTTTTGCTGGATATACACACCAACAAGATGATCTTCTTAGAAAAATTTTTTAATAAAAAGAAAGATAGATTCTCATAAGAGATTACAAGAGAATATATAGAGGAGAAGAGAATGTAGAGAGACAAGTCTTGGAACAAGCTCTAAGGCTGCCTAAAAAATACAAGAGAAATTAAAATAGAGTTTGAATTTGAAAAATAACCCTTCAACTACTAAGGCCACAAAATTGTCTCATTATTTAGTGGGCTTGGGTCTTGAATCATCAAAATGGATTATATGAAGTGAAAACATAAGCCTCGTTAAAAACCTCCCTTTGGAAAACCCAGTGGGCCAAAACTAAAGGCAGGGAAAAAGAGCACTCATGAATCACTTATCCATTTTGATGAGGTCCTTGAGCATGGATCAAAACCAAAGAGGTAGTGCCTTGGCTCAAGTCATTTGGTCGGTCCCAAATGTGGTTAAGCATCCCTCCAATGGCTTGGTTGAATAGCTTAACTCTAGAACGAGTCATTGGACCAGTTGGTGCGATCAAAGCTTCCTCGGCTACAAGCTCCTCCTCAGCTACAAGCTCACGTTCAAGCTCCGGTTCATGCTCCACATCCTTAGTGTTGTCCATGATCATATCATCCCATGTTATAAGCTTCTCAGTGGAAGTAATTTCGTCTTCACAAGTGTGATTCTATTCCTTAAGTTCTTTTGCTTCTTGGAAGTTCCTTGGTTCGTTGTTCAAACAAAGAAGTAACATCTCTCCTTCTTTTTCAGCAAATAAAACGTAATCCTCAAGGTACTTTGGCTTATTAATCTGTCATTGTGTTCTTCTCAAACCAGGTGGAGAAGGGTAACATGTTTCTATAGTTTCATATTCTCCTATTTCATCATGCTCTATCTCGTGCCCTGTTTCATTGTCGTCGCCTCTGGAATCATAGGAGAGTTCCACATCCTTTAGGTTCTGCTATGTTTTGACATGCTCTCCTCTTTCTTGAAGACCATGATTTCTAAAATCTTGAAACGCAATACTGAAACTTCCATCTCCCTCTTTTGTCAAGTCGTTATGTTTCCAATTCCATCCCTTTGTCTCAGCGAACCCGACATCACGGCTCACTACAACCTTCTTTGCATGCAGATCGAGTAGACGATAAGCCTCTGATCTTGGTTCTATCCATAGGTGAACGAGCATCCTTGACTGTCATCTAGCTTTTTCAGGTGTGGTTTGTCTATTTTTGCGTATGCAATGCAACCAAAGATTATGATATGTTCGATAGTTGGTTTCTTATCTCGAAAATATTCATAAGGAGTCTTGTCCTTAAGGGCCCGTGTTGTAACTCTGTTCAAAAGATAGGTGGAATTTCTGATGACTTCTCTCCATAGATAGTTTGGCATATGCATATGCTTCAAGATGCTTCTCACCATCTCCATTAAGTTCATATTGCGTCTTTATACTACCTTATTTTGTTGCGGAGTATATGGAGCAGCGAGGTGCCTTTTGATGTTGGAGTCTACGTAGAATGAACTAAATTCAAGAGATAAAAACTCTCCTTCTTTGTCTGTTTTGAAACTCTGTATTCTTGCTTCAGATTCTTTCTATACCAAGGTTTTGAAGTTCTGGAATTTGTGAAAAGCATCTCATTTCTCTTTTAGTAAAGTCGTCCACATGTAGCAAGATTAATCATCAATGAAGATGTATGTGTTTCCAACGCTTGGACTCGGTGTTATAGGTCCGTTGAGGTCTCCGTGTATAAGCTTTAATTTCTTGGTTGCTTTGTAAGTGGTTGCTTGTGGAAACATTTGTCTAGTTTGTTTCCCAAGTAAGCACGAACTGAAAATTTCCTTCTCTAGAGTAATAGTCAGAGCTCCTTGAACCAGTTCTTTATCTATCATCGATTTTGTAGTTGCAAGATTCACATGTTCCATTCTTGCGTGCCACTTGCGTGACTTACTTATAGTCGTTAAATACAGACATGCTTTGTTTCTCAACCCCATCCAAACCTTGTACAACCGATTCTTGGACCTCTCTGCTTTTAAAAGTAGTTTTCCATCTTGATCAAGCATTGTCAAGTATCCTCCCTTTAATCTTATGTAACAGCTTGATTTTGTAGCCTATTAGAGGCTTATAATATTGCTCTTCAAATCGGGTATAACGTAGACATCAGTCATTACTCTTGGTCTTCTATTCAAATCGCTGAAAGCAATTGTGCCCTTTCCTTTAATATCGATGCGCGAGTTGTCTGCAAATCTCACTTTTCCGGTAATAGAGTGATCAAGTTGATCAAAGTATCTTCGATATTAGATCATTTGATTGCTAGCTCTATTATCTAAGTACCAAAACTCCTCACGTCTATGTTTGTTTTGAACTTACTAGGTACACAATGCTTCTCGTTTAAGTAGAAAGCTTCATTCATCATGAGTTCATCTGCGTCTTGTGTGTCTTTGTTACTACTCTCATGTGCTTCTTGTAGTTTAAGCTATAGGTCTGGGCAGTTTGAGGCAAAGTGACAAGTTTTATCACATCGAAAACACGTTATCTGTGATATATCTCTTTCACCGTACCGTCCACTGCCTCTTCCCCTGTAGAAGGTTATGCCTCCACGGCCCTTGTTCCTGAAATCGCCATGATAGTCTCGGTTTGAGTAACTTTTCCGAGTCTCTGTATTTGTGTACATACGTTTGCTTTGGTTGTCTTGAGTTTCTTCTTCAACTCATATGCGTTCTTCATAAGCTTTAAGGCGTCCTACGATGTCTTCGAAACTTATAGTCTTAAGGTCTAAAACTTGCTCAAAAGAAGCAACTATGAAAATGTACCTTTCACGAGGGAGACTTTTAGGAAACTTTTAAGAAACTTTTTGACTAGCTTTGATCCTTTGATGTTTTGTCCTAATGCAGCCGATTTTAAAACTATTTCGGACCATCAATGGTTTCAGAGTTTATCACCTTGAGACGATCAAATTCAGACATTAACGTTTGTAGTCTAGCTTCTTTTACTCTATCCCCTCACACATGTCTCGCTTTGATTGCTTCCTATACCTTCTTTGATGTATCTAGCTCCGACTTGTAAGACCAACGTCACGTGTATTTATTGAAACAATAAAGCTATGGCCATGTCATTCTTCTTGCTATTGGTTGCATTCGTCTCGATTATCTCCCAAGCCTTATGCACCTTAAGTTTGATCTTCATCTTCATGGCCCACACCGTGTAGTTGGTTGAGTTGACCATAGGACATTGAATTGAAGAAGGTCCTCTTCCTTCTTTCGGTATCCCCGTTGTGACGACAAGCTCTTCTATCCTCTCTATTCTCGATTGTTCTTATGATCTTACAAGACTTTTTCTGTTCTCAATTGCTCTTATAATCTCACATGAATTTTTTGCTCTGATACCAAATATAGAATTCAAAGAAGATATTAAAGAACACAAAATAAAGAATAACTCTCTTTATTGCTTTAGAAAATCTCTCAAAACTAAAGCTCTCTTAATCTCTCTTAAAACTCAGAAGTTATGTCACAAGCTTGAAATCTCCTTATAAAATAAAATACTTTGCTAAATCCAAAACTAATTTGGAATGTATTTAGATAACTCCTAAACACAACTTTAGATAACTCCTAAAAGTCCTAAGCTTTATCTCTTTTGTAAATAACTTATAACTCATGTTATCTTCAAGCTTAAGTCAACATCACCAGCATAACAAAATCAAGACTACTTTTCTTCTATACAATTGAGTTATATAACCATATGTTTTTTTTTGCTTATTGATATAGAGTTAATACTTGACTGTGGCAGTTATCCCGAAGATGTCTATGATCGTGTTTGGTTTCCAAATTTAGAACCAGAATGGACTCAAATAAACACAACCCGTAATGTAAGTGGCTTTTCTTATGGCTATAACCCGCCACAAGATGTAATTAAGACAGCCGCCATACCCACTAATGTCAGCGAGCCATTGACCTATACTTGGAATTTGAAATCCTCTGATGACGAGTCGTATGCTTACCTTTACTTCGCTGAGATCCAACAATTAAAGGCCAATGAAACTAGGGAATTCAAAATCGTGGCTAATGGTGTTGATTACATTTCTTATATGCCATGGAAGTTTGAAGCAGAGACCCTATACAACCCCGCACCACTGAAATGCCAGGGAGGGCTATGTCGTGTGCAGCTGTCAAAAACACCGAAGTCGACTCTACCACCCCTAATGAATGCTATAGAGATTTTTAGCGTCATACAATTTCCACAATCAGAGACAGATACAGATGATGGTATGGGGCCGATAAGTTTTTTTTTTTTTTTTTTTGTCAGCTGAAATTTATTAAAAGAGGATTAAATTATATCTCACCGGAAAAATAAATAGATATATCTGAAAACTAAGCCGGTTGAAAATGTTGAAATCCCCGGAAACTATAACCCTAAAGAGGGACACACTTTTTGGAAGAAAAAAAACCTAAAATGCAAACCAAAACCGTGTAGTTTTATGCATTATATATAAAATATATAAGTTCTTACGCATAGTTTATTCTTGATTCTTTTGTATTTTTGTTAGTCATTGCTATCAAGGACATTCAATCTACGTATCAATTGAGTAGAATCAGCTGGCAGGGCGATCCATGTGTCCCTAAACAGTTTTCATGGATTGGTGTAAGCTGCAACGTTATAGATATCTCCACACCACCAAGAATCATAACATTGTAAGAAAATTCATATTAATATACATTGTTTTTTTTTTTTTTTTTGGTTTAATATTAATATACATTGTTATCAATAAATGTATTTTTATATGTCTCCGCTCATCCGGTCATGCAAAACAGAGATTTGTCTTCAAGTGGATTAACTGGAATAATATCGCCTAGCATACAAAATCTAACTCTGCTTCGAGAATTGTACGTATCTACATAAATGAATAAAAGGAAAGAAATTCTTTGGATTGGTTAACATTGATCTCTTGAAAATTTATAGGGATTTATCGAATAACAACTTGACTGGAGAAGTGCCTGAATTCCTAGCCACTATCAAATCGTTGTTGGTCATGTAAGTTGTTTAAACATTATTGGGTTGTTTTTATTAGTTTCTAATGATATATATATCCACATCCACAGACACTTAAGCGGAAACAATCTTAGAGGTTCTGTTCCTCAAGCCCTTCAGGATAGAGTAAAAAATGATGGTTTAAAACTATTGTAAGAGTCTGTTTTCAGATGATCTTATTATTTTGATTATATCCACTCGTTTTTTATAATTAATTTCATCAATAACATTTTCATTTTTTTTAGTGTTGATCCAAATATAAAGCAGCGTAGACCACACCAACCAAGATCCTGGCTGTTGGCCACTGTTGCATCTATATCTTGTGTGGCCGTTATTATAATCGTGTTGGTTCTCATCTTCATTTTCAGAAGGAGAAAGTCATCGACACGCAAAGGTAAGTTAAAATAAATATATGATCCAAGTGTCGTTAGCTCAACTGGTAAAGATTCTAGGTGAAGCTTAGAGGTCGCTGGTTCGAGTGACGCTTGGGACGAAACTAATATTACATGTTGTGGTTTCGGGTCTGGGGGATGACGGGGTTTAGCCCAGAACCTCGTATTAAAAAAACAAAAAACAAAAAAGATGATCCATATTGAAGTATGAAATTCTCATGGATCTACAAAATTATGTTTTGCAGTTATACGTCCATCATTGGAAATGAAAAATAGGAGATTTAAGTATTCAGAGGTCAAAGAAATGACTAATAACTTTCAAGTTGTTCTCGGTAAAGGCGGCTTTGGTGTTGTTTATCATGGTTTTCTCAACAATGAACAAGTAGCCGTCAAAGTTCTCTCTCAATCATCAACTCAAGGCTACAAGGAATTCAAAACAGAGGTACTTAATTATACTATAATCTTCCACTTAAAGTTTGGACAATCATAAGTTCATGAATATAGTTATACCATGTTGTTGATATATTATTAGGTCGAACTACTTCTAAGAGTTCACCATGTGAATTTAGTAAGCCTCGTCGGATACTGTGATGAAGGAAATGACTTGGCTCTCATCTACGAGTTCATGGACAATGGAAACTTAAAGGAACATCTCTCAGGTAAATCGTTAGAGTATGATACAAAGATTTTTGAGTTACATGCCAAAGGCTTTTAAAATTTCTAATGATTTCTATCCATATTGTGAATTTTGGCAGGTAAACGTGGTGGCTCTGTCTTGAATTGGTCAAGTAGACTCAAAATAGCTATTGAGTCTGCACTAGGTTTGTCGAAAATTTATTATGTTTCTTTTTCTCAAGTAGATATATTCTTCTTTCTTCTAAACTTCATTTTTATGATAAATAGTTAACATATGAAGTTTTTTTTATATATATGTACAAGGAATTGAGTACTTGCATATTGGATGTAAGCCGCCAATGGTTCATAGAGATGTGAAAAGTACCAATATACTGTTAGGTCTACGTTTTGAAGCCAAACTCGCCGATTTCGGACTTTCAAGATCTTTTCTAGTGGGAAGTCAAACTCATGTATCAACAAATGTTGCTGGAACTCTTGGATATCTTGATCCCGAGTAAGTTCTAGTTCATATCACATTAGTATTCAGGATATGCTTTCTTGTATATGTTAATTAAACAAAAATCAAAATCCTCAATTACTTTTCTTGCAGATATTATCAAAAGAATTGGTTAACAGAGAAGAGTGATGTTTATAGCTTTGGGATTGTGTTACTTGAAATTATCACTGGCCAACCTGTGATTGAACAATCGCGTGATAAGTCTTACATAGTCGAATGGGCCAAGTCTATGCTTGCAAATGGTGATATTCAAAGTATTATGGATCCAAATCTCCATCAAGATTACGACACAAGTTCATCTTGGAAAGCTCTTGAATTAGCGATGTTGTGCATCAACCCTTCTTCCACACAGAGACCAAACATGACTCGGGTTGCTCATGAGCTAAATGAGTGTTTGGAAATATATAACCTTAGTAAAGGAAGGAGCCAGGATGAAAATTCAAGTAAGTCCACGGGACATAGCGTAACTTTCATCAGTGATATTCCTTCAGCTCGTTAATCTTTTCATGTTTCATCTATATATTTGTGTTTGAAAGATACATATAAGTTGTAATAAAGTCTGGAATGTTTAAAAACTTCTCATGCTAAGCAATTTACTCCTATTTGAATTACATTCATAAATATATGATAAACTAGGTGATTGCCCGCGCAAATGCGCGGGAATAATGCTGTGTGAATGGTAAAATCATGTGAGATAAGGGGTTGTTTAGGTGTTAGTGTAAGAAAATATGGTAAATTGTTTAGGGTTTAGTGTAATAAAATATGGTAAATGTTGAAATTAAAAAATTCAATAATATTATAAATGCTAAGAAAATAATAATAAATCATCTTCTAAACAAAATTGCAAGAAAATAAGAAATCAACGAACATCATCATTCCATGGCATTCTCTTTGCGTGTGACGATATGTACTTGGTCGTTTTCAGGATTCATGACATCCGATTGAGAACACCAGAAACAGTTAACGTTCAGTCGCCAACTTTAGAGTTTTGATTGTGAACGGAAAAAAACCAAAAAATAATTACCAACAAAGCATCTCGTCGGTAATATTGACTATTTATTGTCAAACTCATCAATCTGCAAATGATTTATACGTTTATCAAGTTGTCTTTCATCGGATTGCAGAAAACCGTCAATTTTGTATCTCTTGTTTTGTTATCATGGTTATAGCCACACTCATCAATGAGAAAATAATTTTTACGTTTATCAAGAGCTCTTTTATTACGTTGCTGAAACACATCAATTTTTTTTTTATCATGGTTATAGCCAAACTCATCAATCCGCAAATGATATTTACGGTTTTTAAAGGAATTTTTATAACGATGCAGAAAACCGTCAATTTTACCCATTTTTCCGTTATAATGGTTATAGCAAAACTCTTCAATTAGAAAATAATTTATACATTTATGAAGAGCTCTTTCATCAGACAGGAGAAAACCGTCAATTTTCATCTCTTTTCTTTTTGTTATCCTGGTTATAGCCAAACTCATCATCAACAAATGATTTCTACATTTATCAAGAGCTTTTTCATGAGACTGCATAAAACCATCATTTTTGCTCTTCTTGTTTTTTTCACATGGTTATAAACTCATAAATCAGAAAATAATTTCTACGTTTATCAACAGGTGTTTCATTAGGCTGTAAAAAAACTGTTAGTTTCGCTCGTATTTTTGTTATCATGGTTATAGCCTATCTCATCAAGCAGCAAATGATTTCTACGTTTATCAAGAGCTCTTTCATCATGCTGTAGAAACTTACCAATTTTGCTCATTTTTTTGTTATAATGGTTATAGCAAAACTTTTCAATCAGCAAAAGATTTCTACGTTTATCAAGAGCTCTTTCATGAGACTACAAAAAACTGTCAAATCTTCTCCTCTTTTTTTGTTATCATGGTTATAGCCAAACTCATAATCAGCAAATGATTTCTACGTTTGTCAATAGTTTTTTCGTGAGCTTGTAGAAAACCGTCAATTTTGCTCCTTTTTCGTTATCATTGTTATAGCCAAACTCATCAATCATCAAACGATTTCTAGGTTTATAAAGATCTCTTTCATTAGACTGTAGAAAGCCGTCAATTTTGGTTCTCTTATTTTGTTTTCATGGTTATAGCCAAACACATCAATGAGCAATTAATTTCTATGTTTATCAAGTTCTTTTTCATGAGCTTGCAGAAAACCGTCAATTTTGTTCATTATTTTTCGTTATTATAGTTATAGTCAAACTCATCAATCTGCAAATGATTTCTATGTTTATCAAGTTCTCTTTCATCGGATTGCGGAAAGCCGTCAATTTTGTATCACTTGTTTTGTTATCATGGTTATAGCAGCATTCATCAATGAGCAAATAAATTTTACGTTTATCAAGGGCTCTTTCATTACGTTGCAGAAACCCATCAACTTTTTATTTTTTAATCATGGTTATAGCCAAACTCATCAATCAGCAAATAATTTCTACGATTGCCAATAGTTTATTCGTGAGCCTGTAGAAAACCGTCAATTTTGCTCCTTTTTCGTTATCATTGTTATAGCCAAAATCATCAATCATCAAACGATTTCTAGGTTTATAAAGGTCTTTTTCCTTAGACTATAGAAAGCCGTCAATTCTGGTTCTCTTGTTTTGTTATCATGGTTATAGCCAAACACATCAATGAGCAAATAATTTCTACGTTTATCAAGTTCTTTTTATGAACTTGCAGAAAACCGTCAATTTTGTTCATTGTTTTTGTTATTATATTTATAGTCAAACTCATCAATCTGAAAATGATTTTTATTATTGTCAAGTTCTCTTTCATCGGATTGAAGAAAGCCGTCAATTTTGTCTCTCTTGTTTTGTTATCATGGTTATAGCCACACTCATCAATGAGCAAATAATTTTTACATTTATCAAGGGCTCTTTCATTACGTTGCAGAAACCCATCACCCTTTTTTTTTTTTAATCATGGTTATAGCCAAACTCATCAATCAGCAAATGATATTTATGGGTATCAAGGGCATTTATAAAGTTGAAGAAAACTGTCAATTTTACCCATTTTCCGTTATAATGGTTATAGTAAAACTCTTCACTTAGCAAATAATTTATACATTTATCAAGAGCTCTTTCATCAAATAGGAGAAAGCCGTCAATTTTGCTTTCTTATTTTTTTGTTATCCTGGTTATAGCCAAACTCACCATCAACAAATATTTTCTAGGTTTATCAAGAGCTTTTTCATGAGGCTGCATAAAATTTTCATTTTTGATCTTCTTGTTTTTTTATCATGGTTATAAACTCATAAATCAGAAAATAATTTCTACGTTTATCAATAGGTGTTTCATTAGGCTATAAAAAAACTGTTAGTTTCGCTCAGTTTTTTTGTTATCATGGTTATAGCCTATCTCATCAAGGAGCAAATGATTTCTACGTTTATCAAGAGCTCTTATATCATCCTGTAAAAACTTATCAATTTTGCTCATTTCCCATTATAATGGGTATAGCAAAACTTTTCAATCAGCAAACGATTTCTACGTTTATCAAGAGCTATTTCATGAGACTACAAAAAACCGTCAAATCTTCTCCTCTTTTTTTGTTATCATGGTTATAGCCAAACTCATCATCAGTAAATGATTTCTACGTTTGTCAATATTTTTTTCGTGAGCCTGCAGAAAACCGTCAATTTTGCTCCTTTTTCGTTATCATTGTTATAGCCAAACTCATCAATCAGCAAACGATTTTTAGGTTTATCAAGATATCTTTCATTAAACAATATAAAGCCGTCAATTCTGGTTCCCTTGTTTTGTTATCATGGTTATAGCCAAACACATCAATGAGCAAATAATTTCTACGTTTATCAAGTTCTTTTTTATGAACTTGTAGAAAACCGTCAATTTTGTTCATTGTTTTTGTTATTTTAGTTATAGTCAAACTCATCAATCTGCAAATGATTTCTATGTTTATCAACTTCTCTTTCATCGGATTGTAGAAAGCCGTCAATTTTGTCTCTCTTGTTTTGTTATCATGGTTATAGCCACACTTATCAATGAGCAAATAATATTTACGTTTATCAAGGGCTCTTTCATTACAGTGCAGAAACCCATCAACTTTTTTTTTAATCATGGTTATAGCCAAACTCATCAATCAGCAAATGATATTTATGGTTATCAAGGGCATTTTTATAAAATTGCAGAAAACTGTCAATTTTACCCATTTTCCGTTATAATTGTTATAGCAAAACTCTTCAATTAGCAAATGATTTATACATTTATCAAGAGTTCTTTCATCAAATAGGAGAAAACCGTCAATTTTGCTCTCTTTTTTTTTGGTATCCTGGTTATAGTCAAACTCATCATCAACAAACAATTTCTACGTTTATCAAGAGCTTTTTCATGAGGCTGCATAAAACCATCATTTTTGCTCTTCTTGTTTTTTTATCATGGTTATAAACTCCTAAATCAGAAAATAATTTATACGTTTAACAATAGGTGTTTCATTATGCTGTAAAAAAATCGTTAGTTTCGCTCAGTTTTTTGTTACTATGGTTATAGCGAAACTCATGATCAGTAAATGATTTATACGTTTGTCAATAGTTTTTTCGTGATCCTGCAGAAAACCGTCAATTTTGCTCCTTTTTCGTTATAGTTGTTATAGCCAAACTCATCAATCAGCAAACGATTTCTAGGTTAATCAAGATCTCTTTCATTAGACTATAGAAAGCCGTCAATTCTTGGTTCTCTTGTTTTGTTATCATGGTTATAGCCAAACACATCAATGAGCAAATAATTTCTACGTTTATCAAGTTCTTTTTCATGAGCTTGCAGAAAACAGTCAATTTTGGTCATTGTTTTTCGTTATTATAGTTATAGTAAAACTCATCAATCTGCAAATGATTTCTATGTTTATCAAGTTCTCTTTCATCGGATTACAGAAAGCCGTCAATCTTCATCGGATTACAGAAAGCCGTCAATTTTGCCTCTCTTGTTTTGTTATCATAGTTATAGCCACACTCATCAGTGAGCAAATAATATTTATGTTTATCAAGGGCTCTTTCATTACGTTAAAGAAACCCATCAACATTTTTTTTTTATATGATGGTTATAGCCAAACTCATCAATCAGCAAATGATATTTTCGGTTATCAAGGGCATTTTTATAAAGTTGCAGAAAACTGCCAATTTTACCCATTTCCGTTATAATGGTTATAGCAAAACTCTTCAATTAGCAAATAATTTATACATTTATCAAGAGCTCTTTCATCAAATAGGAGAAAACCGTCAATTTTGCTCTTTTGTTTTTTGTTATCCAGGTTATAGCCAAACTCACCATCAACAAATGATTTCTACGTTTATCAAGAGCTTTTTCATGAGACTGCATAAAACCTTCATTTTTGCTCTTCTTATTTTTTTATCATGGTTATAAACTCATATATCAGAAAATAATTTCTGCGTTTATCAACAGGTGCTTCATTAGGCTGTAAAAAAACCGTTAGTTTCGCTCATTTTTTTTTTATCATGGTTATAGCTTATCTCATCAAGCAGCAAATGATTTCAACGTTTATCAAGAGCTCTTACATTATCTTGTAAAAACTTATCAATTTTGCTCATTTTCCGTTATAATGGTTATAGCAAAACTTTTCAATCAACA